GAGGGTTTCCACGGCAACGAGAACCAGGGGGAGGAGCTTCTCGCTCCCGTTGCTCCAGCGGCCCGGGAGGGCGGGGATGGGCAGGGGCCGCCCCCGCCGCCGCCGCGCCCGGTGAGCGGCCCCGCGGAGCGGGCAGCGGCCCCGGCTGCGGCCGCCTTTGTCCGCGCCGGGATCGGAACCGGCACCGGCACCGGGACTAGGACCGGGCCTGGGACCGGGATCAGGGCTGGGGCTGCGACTAGTACAGGATTGGGAGCGGGACTAGCGCGGGGACTGGGATCGAAACCGGGAGTGGTCTCCCGGGATCAGTGCCGAGACTGGAGCTAAGGCAAGAATCAGGAGCGGGACTGGGGCTGGAACAGGATCGGGACCACGATCTGCACTGGAATCGAGACCGGGACTGGGACTGGGGCTAGTACCACGGTCCAGACCGGGAGCGGGAGCCGTGTTGGGACTGGGAGCAGAGGCTCCCAGCGGGGCCGGGGGAGGCAGCGGGTGCAGCCYGGGCGCTGCAGCGGCCGTGCAGGGTGTGCGCGGCCTTGGAGTCAAAACCAAATAAATCACGTGCCGCCTTTGGAGGAGCCTGCAGAGGAAGCAGAAACGAGGGAATTAATTGCCAGCACAGTTTATATAACATCCGCCGGGTGCGTTTAGCAAGCGCAGTGTTTGGGGTTTGTTTGGGTGTTTTTTCTGCTGGCCCTAAAGGAGATGCCACTTCCTGCGGGGTGAGGCAGTGCTGGGGACCCTGCGGCAGGCACMGCATCCTGCAGTGCCAAACCCGCCTCGTCGCTGTCTCCAGCCTTAAAGGCAGCGCCAACGTCTTTCTTTGCCCTTGGCCCATAGGTGCCAGGCTGCCGCAGCGCCTGGGCCGCGCATGGCACCGAGGGCCGCTGGAGTTGGGAGCCGGGACCCTTGGCCGGTGAGTACGTGGGGCGGCTCGTCCCTTCCCCGTGGGCTCGGCCGCCTTCACTCCCGCCCTGCGCCACCAACCAGCAAGCCCGCATTTTTCGCATTTCTTTTCCAGGTGCCGGAGCCGGGGCGTTGAGAAACGGAGCGGGGAGCCGGCGCAGAGGTGAGCACCGAGGCGAGAGGCCCCTGTCTTTGCCTTGAAACCGGGTGGGATTTGCCACACTTTGCTGCCGCCAGCCCGGGAAGGGGAGAGTGAAGGYGGGAGGCAGCAGACGGAGCGAGGCCGGGGGCCGGCCGCCCCGCGCGCTCTTCCTCCGTGCCGGCTCCTCGGCAGGCCCTGCCTGTCAGAACTTGCTGCCAGGCAGCAGCTGGTAGCGCCTCGACTTCCCGGCGTCCCCGGCAGCGGGGGGATCGGGGCGAGCAGAAGGGCTTGCAGCATTGCCCGCACTCCCCGTGGCCATTGGGGCGCTTTGCCTGCYGCCCGCCTGTTCCCTCGAGGTCCCCAGGCTGCTCCAGTGGTCGGACTGGTCAGCATCAAAGAGGCTGAAACTGGAGGGGTGGTTCTGGGCTGCTTCCTCTCCACCGGTGGCCCGGGCACATTCCTTCCTCCTTAGGCGGCCGGGCCGAGGCCAGAGGACGCGGCCGCTGCGGTTTCCCTCYGCCCCGGCGCCTCTCGCGTGAGGGTGAATCAATTGCCCACGCTCGGCTCGGCGACTGAGACGTTGCATTTTTTTCCCAGCGTGCTGGAAATTGTTGCTCGTGCTAAGGACAGGGGCCGGGAAGGCAGAGCGAGGCCACAGGCACCGGTGCCTGTGTGGGACGCAGGCAGATGGAGCAGGGGGGGATGCTGATGTCAAGGTCCGTTTTTGGCACCATCCAAATTGTGCCGTCTCCTTTTGGGGCACTTCCAGGCGTGCAGAGAGCTTGCCGGGGCTCAGCCATGGAGCAGGACCCCGGCCGGGGCGAGCGCAGCGGGTTTGCYGAGCGCGGCCGCGGTCCTCCCGCAGCGGCCGCGCTGCAGCCGGGATTCTCCTCCTGTCACAGGTGTTGAGCAGGACCCCGCGGCCGGCACCAGCCCAGCGGCCCCTTGCCCCCCACTCCCGCTCTGGCCTGCTGCGCGGCAGCGTGGAGGCCTCGGCGCGGGCTGGCCGGCCGCCGCGCGRCCCCTCGCCCTGCAGGTGAGCACGGCTCCCGCCGGGCACACGGAGCAGATCCGCGTGGCTCCCTCYGCGCCTACCCCAGCCGCACGGCCACCACGGGGATGGCCAGTGGCCACCTAAGCTGAACCTCAGCTCTACCTGTGCTGCATCCCCATCTAGGAGCTAGGACGGGGTGACGCGTGCTGCACGCAGGGCAGGCGACGGTGTCAGGACACCGGGCTGCCACGCTCGCGTCAGCGCCGCCGCCAGGTCACCCGGGGCTCCAGGCAAGCCATTTAAATAGGGCTCCTTTGCGAGCGAGGCCAACACCTCCTTATCTCGCAGCAGCCCCGGGTAAAACCGTGGCGAATTGTCCCTGCCGTCAGCAACAGCCTGCCAGGCTTTCCAAGGAAAGGCACCTCASAAATGCAGCCGCGCCGGTGGCCGCCGCTCGCGCGGCCGCCTCCTTCCCGGTGGCGCTCGGGAAGGTCTCGCTGGCGGCGCGCGCTGCCGCTGCCAGCGCCTGCCTTCACCCCGCTCACCGAGCGAGCAGCGCCACGTGCTCCTAGATAAGATAGAGGGCAGGAAAGCAACCTCGGGCTGGCGTGGGGAGGATTATGCAGCCTGAGCTAACGAGCCGCGCGCGGGGTGGGCAGGCTGCCACAGGAGCTTTTCTCCCATAAGGGAAAAAAACAGAGGTTTTTTTGCACCCTTTTCTACGCCCCTCTCCTACTGCTTTGCTCAGTCCTGTTTGATTCTGGCTTCGCTCCTTTTCCGTCCCCTTTCATGCTGGTTTCAGCCCGTCCCTCCGCGCGGGGCTGTGACTGCGAACCCTGCGGGCGCGCGCGGGCTCGCTCACCAGCCGGCCCCGTGCCTGAGCGCTGCTCTGCTTTTTGTTCCGTGCCTGACGTTAAAGGAACGTTTCGGCTCCTGGGGGCAGCCCGAGGGAGCCTGTGGCTGGACGGCGCCGGGGGACACGCCGGCAGCCCCCAGCACCATGAGCATCGAGAAAGCAGGTACGGGGGTGCTTCGCTTCCACAGCCCATCGCAGGCCATGCCTCTATCCTGAGGCGGGGCCAGCTCTTTTTTTTTTTTTGATTATTCTTTTCCTTGGGAAGGCGCAAGTAATTTCAGGATTCATTTTATAGGCTTAATGTCCGTCCTGGGAGGCTTTGGTGAGCCCCGGTGACTCTCATGCGTGCTGCAAACGGTGCTTAGAATGATATTGGGCGGGTTAGGAGGCCAAACGCGCCGAGATTAGGCAATGTTGCTGTTCAGGGTACCTGTATAATTTTAATTTGGCTTCCGGTACATTTGTGCACTATGATGCAGTCTCTAATGACATGATCATATACCATCTTTCCACAAGCACCTGCTCATTCCGACAAAAAAGAAAAGGATATTGGGGATGAATCAGAGCGAGGCAGGAAAGGCAGTTGTTATCTGAGTGAGGTGCAGAAAACAGAGCATCTCGTCATGTAATTGGGCTGTGTCATCACTCAGACGTGCGCGGCGGCCCGGCCACCCTCCGTCGGGTCATCCCCGTGTGCCGAGAGCTGGGCTTTCTTGCCGTGTTTCTAGACCCCTCGGTGCAATGCGACTTCCTCCCCTTGGAAAATGTGCCAAGAAACCCACCCAGACCCAAACCCAGCAGATCCTCTGCTTTGTGGCGCTCGATGCCCAGCACCTCTGCTGGCACAAGAAGTCAGGACAGGTCTGGAGGGGAGCTTGCGTCTAGACTGTTCTTTACCATGTGGCTGAATCGGGATTTTCTCCACCTGGACACCTCCACTTTAATGGCCCCCTCTGCTTAAACACACCCGGGGCGTGACGTGCACGGGTGGTCAATATTCCCAACACGCAAGCCTTCTGCAGGGACGCTTGATAGTCCCCGATGGACAATCCTTCTGCAGGGGCAGGTAGATATTCCCTGGATGGACAGTCCTTCTGCAGGGATGCTGGAACCTCCCYGGCCAGGCAGTATTTCCCCCAGGGCAGTCTCCACCGGCGCTGCAGCCCGTGCGGGGGCTCCGTGTGGAGCCGAATGGCCAGCGTTGGCGCTGGGAGGGCTCCTGGCCTCTGCACGCTCTTCCCGTTGCAGGGGGCAGGCTTTGCAGCAGCAAACGCGCCAGCCTGCCCACGGCCCGGCAGCTCCCCGTGATCCAGAAGATGGTCGAATCCATGGCTCACCTGCAGGAGGAGAAGCTGCGGATGCAGCAGGAGCTGCTGGCTTTGCAGGAGAAACTCTCCGCTCGGGAAAAGGAAGACATCGATGTGTCCGTCCAGCTGCAAGGCCAGGTAGGACGTGTGCTGGGGAAGGATGAGGCTGAATGGAGGGTAGAAAACAGAGGCACAGTCAGGGTTTCCAGGCGTGGATGATGGCCYGGCATGAGTGCTGCATTTTGAGTGTGCTTTGGTGTGACAGTGTGTCTTCCCTGCCGGCCTGCCCAATCCGCCGGGACATTTCACACGGAGAACAGGAGCTCCAGTACGCGGAGCTCCCCTTGCGGGTGCCCGTGGCGCTTCGGCTGAGCGCCCGGCCCCGCGGCGCCGAACCGTCCTCGCCGCGGTTGCCTTCTCCGGACATYGTGGTGCTGCTCCGGCCACGGCGGCCGGGCCCTTGGAAGCGATGCGGCCCGTCRGGATGGGGCATCGGCAGAGCTGGAAGCAGAGCAGCTCTCAGGACAAGCTGGCAAAACCAACCGGCCCATTTAATTCCAGGCTGAAAGGGCAACACTGAAGAAAAAGTAATGCCTGCTTCAGCAGGAGAAAGCGATTGAGGGGGTGATCACGTCCAGCAGCAAATAGTGGATGTTTGAGCGAGCACTGAGACCTTGCAAAGCTTTGAGGACAAAACCCTCTCTTTTTCTCAGCCTCTGTGAGCCAACCCCCTAAACGTTGGCTCTGCCCATAGAGCCATATCTGCGGGCACGAGGACTTGCTCCTTGCAGGGAGGCTGAAATCCAGGCTGCTCATAAACGGATTTGCATGTGGATGTTGTGGGAGCTATTAGAGTCAGGTTTGGCTTGTTCCGCTGGTGTCAAAAAGGTGGCTCTCGCTGCCCCGGATTCGGTCGGTGGAGGCTGCGCGACACGGCCGGAGCGCAGGAGCCGGCCCTGCGCGGGGCCAGCGCGCCCGCCCGGGAGCTGCCCCATGGCGGGGCCGCACCTGGCGCCCCATGGGGCCACCAAGGAGCCGCCGTCCCCTCCGGAGAGCAGGATGCGGCCGGAGGTGCCCAGCCAGACACAGGTAGGGCCGTGGGGGACGAGCCGCAAACCTCCCGGGTGATTTTCCACGAGTGTCAGGCTCGTATTGTGGGGGCTTTTACTTCTCCGTCCCAATGAGCGTTTGCCCGCGAGCTTTCTACGCGCGCGCCCTGCTCGGCTGGCCCCTAAATGCGACGCGATCCCTGCTCCGCCGGCGTGGCCGTGTMCCCGGGAAAATTCCTCCCGGCGCTCCGAGTGGCTCCCTGCTTGGCAGCGCTATTTTAAGCCCCGGCCGAGCTGCAGCGAGGAGGGCACGTGAGCGCTGCAGCAGGAGCCGCGCTGGGGCCATTCGCGCTGTTGTGTCTCGTAACATCTTGCCGTGTTTGGAAACAGCCTTTTTTTTCCCCCCAAACCAGATGGGAGGAGAGCTCAGCCGGTGCCTGTGAGCTTGCTGTTCGCTTTCCCTCTCCCAGCTGGCGCGCGCAACGCCCAGCCTGGTTTTCCAGGCGGGATGGCAGCCCTGAGCGCGTGAAAGGTGCCTTGGTGGCCCGGCGGCGCGCACCGTGCTGCACGCTTGCCGTCCTGCAGCTCCGGCAAGGAGCGGCTAATAACCGCACAGAATTAATTGCAGCACAATGCGAGCGCGTTTGCATTCGTTATCCATCAGCAGCTCCTAAATTATGGTCCGCGGAGGCCGGGTTGTTTATGAAAGGCTTGGCAAGGCAGATGGGGCAATATCCCAGCTGCGGGGTGGAGGCGCTTGGTGGCCAGCACTGCCTTTTCGGTGGCAGGATCGCGGGATGAAGCCAGTGCCGTGGGAAAGAAAGAGTCACGAAGGCGCACGGGCGGCAAAGCCGGCACGGGAGCCGCAGCAGTCGATTTGATTAACTGCATCCAGCCTCTCACCGCAGCCTCACCATGCATCTGCAGCGGGGAGGGAAGGAGCTGAGCTGCAAGCCCAAGGCAGCCCCTGCAGAAAATATATATATTTATATAAGGCATTGCTAAAATCTGCCTGCTTTTGAGCAGGGCTACGCATCTCCCGTGACGCTTGGGCTGCTTGAAGCGCCTCTGCTCACTCGCTGCCTTCCGAGGCGGCTCTGCTGGGGAGGAGAAAGCAGCAGCRAAGGAGGTGGTGAAGACAAGCTCGGTTGCAAGGGCAGGAGGAGGAGGCGCTTCAGGCTCTCTAATTGTGGCTCGGTCTTTCCTTTCTTATTTATTCATCCTGCAGAGTGGATGGCAGTTCTTTAATAATGGTCGCTGCTGCTACTTGACGTGGCCGATTTCTCCCCGCGGGAGAGCCGAGCAGCAAGGCCTGTCATTAGCGCGCGTTTTAATCGGCCGCGGTGAATCAGGTGCTCGCAGCGAGGCGGCAGATGCGGGCGCGGGAGCGAGGCGGCCCGGCGGCGGGAGCAGCGGGGAGCCCGCCGGGCGCACCCGGAGCCTGCGCCGGCTGGGAAGCAATCACCGCCGGGAGCGATTCACTGCTGCCGGTGACGACACGGTGGGATTGGGCGTCTCACGAGCTGCTGCTGCTGCTGCGGTTTTAGCCTGCGTGTCCCCCGTCCTCCTCCCCATCGGCTTCGTTCTGGCTCACAGGGCGGCACCGACTTGGAGAAGCACCGTGACCTGCTGGCGGCCGAGAACGAGCGCTTGCGGCAGGAGATGAAGGCCCGCGAGGGCGAGCTGCGCGCGCTGCGGCAGCAGCAGCAGCCGGCGCCGTGCCTGCCCTGCGAGCACGTCCAGGTGAGTCCCGCRGCGGCGGTGGCGGCGCGGGCACGCGGCGCAGTGCCGGCAGCCTGGCCATCTTCACCTTGCGCTGCTGCAGGAGAACGGGCGGCTGCAGGAGCGGCTGGCGCAGCTGCAGCGGGAGGTGGAGGAGGCGCGGGCCAAGCTGGGCGAGCTGGACCTCGAGGTGCAGCAGAAGACCAACCGCCTGGCCGAGGTGGAGCTGCGCCTCAAGGACTCGCTGGCCGAGAAGGCRCAGGAGGAGGAGCGCCTCAGCCGGCGCCTGCGCGACAGCCAGGAGACCATCGCCAGCCTCAAGGCGCAGCCCCCGCAGGTCAAGGTGGGAGGACCGCGTCCTCTCCTGGCCCTCAAGGGACGGGCCAGGACGTGGGGAGGTGCTGCTGCTGGCTGGGCGATGGGTTTGGCCCCACGGAAACCGTGGGGTCTTGGTGGATTAATGGCACAGTGGGTCCTGCTCACCGTTGCGTGCYGCCACGTCTCACGCGTGGGCTTTTCCCCACAGTACATCATCAAAACGGTGGAGGTGGAGTCGTCCAAGGCGAAGCAGGCCCTGTGCGAGAGCCAGTCCCGAAACCAGTACCTGCAGGAGCAGGTGGGCATGCAGCGGCAGGTGCTCAAGGAGATGGAGCAGCAGCTGCAGAGCTCGCAGAAGACGGCGGCCCAGCTCCGCGCGCAGGTACCCGCGGCCGCTYGCGCGCCCCTGCCCAGTCCCACCGCTCCTCCGGAGGCTCTGCTSCGGCCTGAGCACGGCCGTGCTGCTCTCGCCAGATCATGCTGTATGAGGCTGAGCTGGAGCGGGCGCACGGGCAGATGCTGGAGGAGATGCAGGCCATGGAGGACGAGAAGAACCGAGCTATCGAAGAGGCCTTTTCCCGCGCGCAAGTGGAAATGAAGGCCGTGCACGAGAACCTGGCGGGTAAGGGCAGGAGCTGCGCAGGGCACGCGGAGCACCCAGCGCTCGCGGACAAGCCCTGCATGCCCTGGGAAGCACCCTGGTGTGCCGGCCGGGCCGGGTTCCCTCCAAGCCCTTTTCACCATGCTGGGGGAACACATCCCCTATGTTCATGGGTATAAGTGTCATGGAGATAAGTTGAAACCCAGGCAGTTCCATCTCCGTATGAGGAAGAACTTCTTTGCTGTGAGGGTGCCCAGTCCCTGCCACAGGCTGCCCAGGGAGGCTGTGGAGTCTCCTTTTCTGGAGATCTTCTAAACCCGCCTGGGTGCGACCAGGTACCCCGTGCTCTGGGTGTCCCTGCTGGAGCAGGGGGTTGGACTCRATGATCCCTAGAGGTCCCGTCCAACCTCAACCTTTCTGGATTCGGTGGTTCTGTGTTCACAGGCGTTCGGACCAACCTGCTCACGCTGCAGCCGGCRCTCCGCACCCTCACCAACGACTACAACAGCTTGAAGCGGCAGGTCCGTGACTTCCCCCTGCTCCTCCAGGAGACCCTGCGGAGTGCCAGGTCCGAGGTGAGGCCTCCCCTGCCCGTGTCCTCCCCTGGGTGACTCTCGTGTACCACCTCCGCAGGGGGATGGGCGGTCCAGAGCTGGCAGGGCTGGGATGTGACCCCTTTCCCTTCTCGCTCAGATTGGACAAGCCATCGAGGAGGTGAACAGCGCCAACCGGGAGCTCCTGAGGAAGTACCGCCGGGAGCTGCAGCTCCGCAAGAAGTGTCACAACGAGCTGGTGCGACTCAAAGGTGCGCGGGAGACACCGGCAGTGCCTCCTCCTGGGGTGTCTCTGGACGCCTGCGGGCTGGCTGTCCATGGCCAAGAGTCTGGGTGAGAAGGTTGTGTTGAGTGCCTGGGGTGTTGGACAGTGCCTGCGGAGAATGTGGGGTTGTCCACGGGTTCCAGGGTCTGAGCTGATCCCTGCTCTCCTCCTGAAGGCAACATCCGTGTGTTTGGGCGAGTCCGCCCCATAACGAAGGAGGACGGGGTGGGCGCCGAGGCAGCCAGTGCGGTGACGTTCGACCCTGACGACGACGCTGTGCTGCACCTCTCACACAAAGGCAAGCAGGTGTCCTTCGAGCTGGACAAGGTCTTTCCCCCTAAAGCAACGCAGGAGGACGTAAGTACRGCCGTGCCCCACTGCGCAGCCTATCAAAGGAGCTGCTGGCACCGTGGGCTGCAGTGCAGAAAGTTGAGGCAGGGCCTTGGTGACGCTCCCCTGCGCCCAGCAGGTATTTCGAGAGGTCCAGGCCCTCGTCACCTCCTGCATCGATGGCTACAATGTCTGCATCTTTGCCTATGGGCAGACGGGCGCCGGCAAAACGTACACGATGGAGGTAAAGCTTTGCCCCCTCCCTTCTGCCTCGGTTTCCCGTCCCACATTGCTTGATTCATCCCGGGACTCGGCACCATCTCAGTGGCCCAGTCCCTAGGTGAATAACTAAAACGCCACCCAACTGGGCTATTTGCCTCTCTCTTGCCCCCTGCTAGGGAACGGCTGCAAACCCAGGCATCAACCAGCGCGCCCTGCAGCTGCTCTTCGCCGAGGTGCGGAGCAAGGCGGCCGACTGGGACTACGCCATCACCGTCAGCGTGGCCGAGATCTACAACGAGGCGCTCAGGTAGCGCCCGGCRGCCCTGCTTGCCCGGGGCCCGCTGAGGCCACATGGCTGCTCCTTGGCCGTACATGTTGTTCCCGGTACTCCGGGCTCTGGGTTTGGCTGGTGGTTAGAGGAGGGCGCACGGCGCTGGGAGGGATCGTAATGGAGGGCTGGAAAAGACGGTCGCGCGCGGCTCAGGTGGGAGCCTCGGCCCGCGGGCGGGTGCGGCGCCGGCACCGACGGGAAATGAGAGGCCGGTGCTATAAATAGCGTGGGGAACAGGCGGGGAGGAAGCGGCTCCTCCCGTGCCGCGGTCGCGGCTGGGCTGGCTGCCCCCGAGCCGGCCGAGTGCCCGCGCGGCCGCTGCCAGGCCCGGCGGCCCCTTGGGGCGCCCGCGCCGCCAAGGCCCACGGCTCCCCTCTGCGCAGGGACCTGCTGGGGAAGGAGCCTCAGGAGAAGCTGGAGATCAAGCTGTGCCCGGATGGCAGCGGGCAGCTCTACGTGCCGGGGCTGACCGAGTTCAGGGTGCAGAGCGTGGAGGACATCAACAAGGTGAGAGCGGCTGCGGTTCTCCATGCCCGGATAGTTGCTTTCTGCCAAATCACAAAAATAACCAGAGGAGGCAACGGATCTGACTGGGATGGAGACTTGGGAGTCGCTGGGTCCTGCAGCAGCGTCATTCGTGACGTGCCGGGGAGCAACGGCGACCAAAATAGGGCCCTGGGGATAGCGTGACAAGCCCCGTGCTTGGAAGGCACCAACTYTTGGTGCAAGCTCGCGGGCATTTAAAAATAAGGTTTGGGGGGCTGGGTGACTCCCACGGGATTAACGGCCCCAGACTTYCCTACCTCATATTTGCTTCATCCCAGTCGCCATCTCGGCTTCCCTTCCCTGCTTCCCGCAGGTCTTCGAGCTGGGCCACGTCAACCGGGTGACAGAGTGCACCAACCTCAACGAGCACAGCTCGCGCTCGCACGCGCTGCTCATCGTCACCGTGCGCGGGCTCGACCGCAGCACGGGGCTGCGCACCGCAGGTGGGCACGCGCCGCAGCGCGGCCTCGCAGCCCCGCCTTTGCCCAGAGCCAAGACACGGGTCCCATCTGGCCCCACGTGGGGTGCACCCACTCGGGCTTGCGGATCGTGGGCTTGGTACTGCAGCCCYGAGCTGTGCCCGGGGAGGGGGGTTGGGTTTTTCCAAGTGTTTYGGGTCTCTGCCCCTAGGGAAGCTGAACTTGGTGGACCTGGCTGGCTCGGAGCGCGTGGGGAGGTCAGGCGCCGAGGGCAGCCGGCTCCGCGAGGCGCAGTACATCAACAAGTCGCTCTCGGCCCTGGGGGACGTCATCTACGCCCTGCGCTCACGCCAGGGCCACGTGCCCTTCCGCAACTCCAAGCTCACCTACCTGCTGCAGGACTCCCTCAGCGGAGACAGCAAAACCCTCATGATGGTGCAGGTAGGGCCGGGGGTGCCCGGCTGCCCCCAGGAGCCAGCCAACCATCATCTCCAGATGGTGACCATGTCCACAGGGTGGGCATGGTGTTCCTGTGTGGGGGCGGGGGGAGGTCCCTGTCCTCTCCCACACCTCCACCCCCTTTCAGGCTCCTCCCTCCCCTCCAGGAATTTGCCCTAAATCCCCCAAGTGCCTCTGTCCTCCCTTCTGCCTTTTGGGGGAAGCCGCTCAGCCGTTGCCACCTGCTGTCGCTTTTTTCAGCTCCCCTTTTTCTGGACAAATATTCCCCCTTTAAGGGAGAGGGGGAGGACTGGGCAGAGGGACTGCTCCCAAGGGACATATTTGACTGGGATGATGAACTCCAGGCAAATGGAGGTCGCTCTCCTGGGAGTGGTGGGTTATTAATAGCCGCCCAGCAGCCCTCAGAAGCGGCGCGTTGGGACTGGATGTGGCAGCGTGATGAACCTCTGCGCGTGGGGACCCTTCACATGTGGTGACCCTTCGCGCATGGTGACCCTTCGCGCCTGCCCGCAGGTCTCGCCAGCTGAGAAGAACAGCAGCGAGACCCTCTGCTCCCTCAAGTTTGCCGAGAGGGTTCGCTCCGTGGAGCTGGGCCCCGTGTCCCGCAGGGCAGAGCTGGGCTCCTGGCCCAGCCAGGAGCAGCTGGAGGTAACGGAGTGGCCGCYGCGCTGTGTCCTGCTCCCAGAGCGGGGCGTATGTGCCCCGTTTTGCTGCAACGGGCGCTCCTGGGGGTCATTAGCAGGGTCCTCTTTGCGTTAGGTGTGGTGGTGGTGGGTGGCTGGCGTTGGGTGCGTCATGATGGCTTCCCTCCTGGGGACCCCCCTAGGGCAGAGCATCCCCCGGGCAGCACCAGGCCCGTGTGCCTGGCTCCCAGCAGGGTACCCGGCCCATCCGAGCCCCGTTTCACTGTGGGCCCTGGCACCGGAGCTTGGCCTGTCCCTCCATGGCTGAGCGGGGGCCGGGCCCTCCACTTTCCGCACAGGGGGACTYGCCGGGGGCCACCCGTGGCCACGCGGCGCCCGGCCCGGGGCCGCCCGCTGCCCGCGCCGCCTCCATCCGCAGGAAGCTCCAGAGCTCAGGTGGGCAGCGCCCGGGCGCGACTCCCCCAGCGGCGCCTGCGCTCCGGCTGCGGCCGCCTCCGCGTGACCCGACGTGGGTGGCCACCCGCGCGGCGAGCCAAGTGGGAGCAGCCCCGAGCCGCGGCGCCGGGGTGGGGGGCAGCTGCGGGCGCAACGTGGGGCCCGGCCGCAGCCCCGAGCTCCCTCAGGGCGGCCGCCGCGCGCAGCTACCGAACGTCTCTCTCCCGTTTGGTTTCAGCGTGACTTAGGGGCAGCGCTGGCCTGCAGGTGAGTGCGGGCAGCCRAGAGCGGCGGTGCCGGCGGAGGGGGCCGCGCTCCGGCCGCCCCGAGCGCCAGGGTATCCCGCGTGCCCACTCACTCGGCCATGGCTTCACCGGGCTCCTTTTGCAGGGAGGCCGAGGCCGGTGCCCGTGTGAYGGCAGGCACTGACCTGCCCCGTGCCCGCGGTGCTGCTGCCCGCCGCTCACCCACGCGAGCAACCCAAAGGCTCCAGCACTGGCCCATGAGCCGCCCCTGGCTTGGTGGCACCTGAGGGACTGCAGGCATCTGGCAGCTCCAGCCTCCTCCTCCCCGCTGCGTCCAGCTGCCGTGAGGCCCTCCTGCCATGGGGCCAGCCTCCGCCGTGAGACCCGGCGACGCTCAGCCTCCTTCTCCGGATGGGAGGCAAGCAGAGGTTGCAAGGCAGGTGGCCGTCCTGCCGGAGCGGCGTCCCGGAGCGCAGAGAGCTGGCGCGAGGCGCCCGCCGCCCACGCCGTCCCACGTGGCACCCGCCACGGGCGGGCGGCCCTCAGCACCTTGGCCCTCAGCGGGACCCTGATAGGCGGCCAAAAGGAGACTGATGGTAGGAGGACAGGGTGCAAATGCCCCAAAAGTCACCCGAGGTGCCCGTCCACCCCGCACAGGCTCTGGGACATCCTTCCCCAGCCACCAAATAAGTGACCTCAAAGTAAGCGACCAAGGACACTGATGCCTCCTTCTCCCCGCAGCCCTTTCCAGTGTGACTCCGCTCTGGTGGTTTCTATTTAAAGGAAAGGAAAAAATAAATCTAACCTTTTGTAAGATTAGATGTTTCTATGTATTTTAATAATAATAATAATGATGATGATGATGATGATAAATCCTGTTTTGTAACAAAACTTATTTTAAATAAACTCTTGAAGCCAGCTCTCACGCAGTGCYCTTAATCTGCTCCTAGGGGTGCTGCCCCTTTCCTGCCTCCCCCGGACCCAGGATGGAGCTGGGGGCACGCGGAGATGGCCACGAGGCCAATGTCACTGCTGCAGCGTGGCAGGCAGCGACGCTGGGGCCGCATCGCAGCAATGTGGCTCCCTTAATTAGCCTGAGACTTGCTCTGTAAGCCCTGCCTAATCCCTGGCACTGCTAAATCCCCATTAGCTCGGGCTCGCAGATTCAGTGCGCCAGGTCCCTCTTTTTTAACGGCCTCGCAAATCATCATTAGGTGGCCCGGTGCAATCCGGAGCCCCTGAGTCCTGAACTACTGGGAGAGAAAAGGAACTAAGGAAAAAACACAGCAAATGCACCAAATCCCAGCAGTAGCGCCGGCACTCCAGGAGCAGCAGGGATGCAGCGCAAGCATCTGCAGAAAAGAGAACTGCTTTTTTCTTCCAGGGCTGCACGGATTTAGACTCCAACATCTTCCAAAATCTGCTCCCACGAGGCCAGCCAAGTTCCCAGGCGAGACTGCCCTGACTCCCATTTACTGCCCAGCCTGGCCTGCCTTCTGCCCCTGCCCCACCACATCAGTGTTTGTTCCTGCAGCTTCTCGCTCCCTCTTGTGTTTTCCAGGTTCTGTGGGAGCTTCCGAGCTGGAGGCAGGAGGCCTGGGGAGCCCTTCGCGCCCTCGGCCAGGCTCCAGCCCCGGGAAGGCCTCCAGGCAGCCCCGGGCAGTAGGCAGCCGGCACCATCCCCTCGAGCAAGCGGCACCTCCAGCCGAGCCGAGCCGAGCCGAGCCGTTCCCGGAGCGCCAGGCGCCGGGGTCCCTGCCGCCCGAGCAGCCCCGGCGTCCCCCGTCACTCTGCCAACCCTGTCAGGGCGTGCGGCCGGGTGAAGCAGTGCCCGTGCGGGCAGCAGCGCCGCCCCAGGCCCTGCCCCGTGGGGCCCCACAAGCCCCACGTCAGGRTACAAGCTGGGACGTAAGCGCCAACACGGCGGCTGTCAGCGCGTGAGGGAGGGCGAAGCGGAGGCTGGGGCGAGCGGGACACCCCGCGGCTCCTGGCGCTGCTCAGGTGTGGACAGCCCAAGCCAGCCCGTGGGGCACCCCCATCCCTCCCGCTGCCAGGCTGCACCAKCCCCAAGAGGAGCAGGAGAACAGGTCGCGTGGGGAAGACACAGGGCTGGGGCAGGTGGAGAAAACACTCACACGCTGCTCTCTGCTCCCCCAAGCGCGGCTGTGTTTGGAGGAAGGACGGGCTTGGCTTCAGCTTTCCCGGTCTTCCCACTAGACATACCCAAGACAGGCTCGCTTCTGTTCCCAAACACCAGCAGCTATTTAGTGCACAGAGAAGCAGCGACGAAGCCCTGCACAAMCCCCGAGGCTGAGCCTAAACTACGTGCCATGATGCTGAGATATGCTAGAAATCGGAGATAGGGAGGAGAGATCCATGTCAGACCAGGGAGGATAAGCAACAAACGATGACTCTGCTATTAAAGCTGGGAACTAAGGAACAGAGCRAAACCTCTCCCACGAGTAGTTTGGCCTCTCTAGGCCCAGGATGGGACGTGTGTAACCACTTAGTGAGCACWGCTTCTGAGCAGGCAAGGTGAGAACGGGGCAGGTTCCCCTTCCAGAGATCCAGAAAACAGAGCCCTATTTTCCCTGCAAGCTCCCAGCCAGGAGCCCTGCCAGGGTAAACAGCCGTTAGAGAGAGTCAAGCGTTTAACACAATTTAAAAAAAAAAAAAAGTTACAAATCTTTTTAATAAAATTCATTATAAGTTACAGTTTCCCAAAGAACAGACTCCAGTGTATAATGGGAGACAGGTTGGGAGGAGCAGAGGAAGCACCAACAGGAACCTCTTCCCTACAGGAAAGAAGAAAGAGGGACAGAAAGGTTCTGACAGCCATTTATTGAAAAAGAAATCTGAGAGTCCAGCGGATGGAGAAAGACATTAGTCCATGTCCCTCTGCCCGCCACCCTCCCAAACCCGTCCCCTCAAAGGCAAACACACACGGCAAGTCCTGCTCAAGTCGCCTATTTTAACAGGCTCAGGTAGACCTCAGTTCCCAACGACAGGCTGAAGATAAGTTATGTGGCCCAGGGTTTCGAGCAGAGGAGCTATGAGACAACTCCTCTCCAAACAGGTCCTTGAGACTGCACCAGGCAAGGTGTCCTGGTATCCTGGCTCAGGGTTTTGAAGCAATCCAAAGGGGCTAGTCCCAGAAGCCAGCAGATGAAGTCAGGCCCATGCTGTAGGAAGAGGGCACTCCATCCAAGAGCAGAAGAGCTGGCTTTTGYGGGACAGAAACTGCAGTCCTCAGGAAAAAAATAGGGGAAAAAAAAGAAAAGAAAGAAAAAAAGAACAAGCCCAGCTGGCCCTGGCCACCTGGTCAAGTAACAAGAACCAACAGCACACGTGGGTGAAGGAAGGGTGAGAGCAGGTTCGGAGCCCTCCCGTCATGGAAAGGCCAGCACACAGAGACAGAGCAAGCACTGATGAGGAGATGGAGAGCTGAAATGAAGCTGCTTCCCTACAAGGACTTTCAACACCCTCAGCCAGTCAGGACCCCTCACACAGCAGAGACCTCTCCACTCAGGTCTTTAATCCAGCCCATAAGGCACTGGGATTGTGCAGGTGGCCAGATGGTCAGCCAGGTTCCAGATCCCTACCATGCCAGACAAAAAGATGGATACACAGCAAGACAGGTGAAATCCAGCTGGACCAAGAGCAGAGGGGAATTTGGCCACCTGTGTGTTTGCACGTGAGGCGACCGGTCACTCCAAGACAGCCATGAGCAGATGCAGTTCCCGGAAGGCACTACCATGGCGGCCGCTGAGCCCGGACTTGTTCTTGACAATGTTGCTGATGTTTTTGAGCTGCTTGTAGCACAGCTTGCATTTATGGAGCCTGCAAAGACAGAGAGCACACACAGCAGGAAACCTCAGCTGCTCTGTGGAGATGTTTGCTGGAACAAACTGGAAACAACCTGGAACAGGTTGCCAAGAGTCTCCTCTTGGCTGTGGAGTCTCCTTCTTGGAGATCTTCATAACCCTCTTGGACACAACCCAGTGCCACGTGCTCTAAGTGACCCTGTGTGTGCAGGGGGCTGGACTATATGATGTCTAAAGGTCCYCTCCAACCTTAAGGATTCTGTGGAGGGCCTGAGATCCAACTCAGCCAGGAGAGGAAACCCAAGCCTAGCCTGGAATAAACTGGAATTTGAGAGTGGCTGTGCAGAAARAAAACATGTCCTCAATCCACATGCTGATGATGCGAGAGAACGACAACGGCCACAGACTCTCCTAGTTTTCCCTCTGGCAGGAAAGCCTGGGGAGGAAGGAGGTGCTTTTTCTAGAGTCCATTCCCAGGGCAGAGCTACTCTGCTGTGAGAGAGCGAGCTGGCAATCCAGGACCTGGCTGACATCCCACGTGCATTGGGAGGCAAGGGCTGCAGCCCCAGGCTGCTTTTATTCCTTACACTCACTCTGGCTAGGTATGACCCAGAATGTGGAGGCAGGGGGAAAAGCAGCCCTTGATGCTTCCCGTGGAGCTCAGAGGGGAGACGTGYAGTGTTTGGAAACAAAAGGGAAGGCAGCCCAGCCCGGCACCAGAACCTCCATGCGAAGGAGCAAAGCTCACCCAAGGGAAAGGCTGGTTGGGAGGGAGGGAGCGGGGGTGAAGACGTGTCTCACCTTTCCTCTCTGGTGATGTCCACCCCAACGGAGGGTGGAGCAGCAAGGATGTCTGTGATCAGCGGCAGGAATCGCTGCAGAATGAGCTTTAAAGAGGTACAGCCAGTCTGCACATAACTGAAACACAAGCAGAGAATCAGGTCCCCCTCAAATTTAACTCCTTTGCTCCCAGCACGTGGCTGTAAACATCATACAGTCCTCATAGATATCCAGGCACTGGGAATAATTCCCTTAAACAATCCCCTTCCAACACCTGTCACCGGGAGAGGGAACCAGCTGCAAGGACCAAGGTGGCCTTCACTCAAGTCAAGGCCGACAAGCCGAGTCTTTTGGAAAGGCCCCTKCTAAGTGGGACTGTCCTGTTAAAGAGCACAGAAGTTCTCATTCCCCTAACCCAATTCGTGTTCTAGCGGCCTCACCTTTCATATTTACTTTGGAGTAGTTTTTCTATCTGTGGCAGGACTATGGTGCACAGATCCAACTTCCAGAGAGACCTGGAAAGAAAAGGTGACATTCTGAGGCTGGACACAGGCCTTACAAGGTACATTCAACACAAACAGCTCTCTCTCACAAAAACCTCCCAGGCAGCAGCACATCAGTTTACAGGACAAGATCACTGACTCCCCCTTGTGATAGAAGGTGGCAGGTTCTGTCTTTTTTTTTTTTTTTAACGCCTCCTTAAAGAATCGTTTCCCACCGCTCTAAGACTTTCATTCTCCTCACGAGATGTCATTTGCCTACAGATGAGGCCCTGTGTGAATCCAGCCCTTACTGGCACTGCAGGCCTCAGTCTGACTAAAAGCAATCACATTTCATAGATTCCCGGAATGGTTCAGGTGGGAAGGGACCTCTAGAGATCATCTAGTCCAACCTCCCTGCTCCAGTGCCATCCAGGCAGGTTTAGATCTCCAGAGAGGGAGCCTCCACAGCCTCCCTGGGCAGCCTGTTCAGGGCTCTGGCACCCTCACAGTGCAGAAGTTCTTCCTCACAGGGAGATGAAACTGCCTGGGTTTGAACCTAAACCCACTGCTCCTTGTCCTATCCCCGGCCACCACTGAGAAGAGTTTGGTCCTCTCCTCCCCATGTTCACCCTTCAAGTACTTGCATTTCATGTTGTCTCAGCACACTGGCCAAGAGGCAGGTACAGGGCAGCAATGACACCCAGGCAGACGGTTCTTACCCATCCCAACCAGCAGCTCTGCAAAACTTACGCTTTCTGGTTGACAATATTCAAGAGGTCGACAACAACAGAGAGATCATTGATGGCCACAGCGGAGTCTACAGAGGTCTGAGGGAGAAGGGGAAGAGATTTACTGCAAAGTTTGAACTGGCTAGACTAAGTGTAATTAGCAAGTGCTGGTTTCCAAACACAACGTAGAGGAAGTGAGGAAATTTCACTAGGGAAGAGAAGACAATTCTTGCATGAAAAGCTTCTCTCCCCTTTTCTACGGGGCCATTCAACTGCAATTTGGAAACGGCAGCACTTTGTGGTGCACCGCTRAGGAGAGAAGTGGTGAAAACCCACATTTTGCCTCAAGTGCTTCCATCTCCTTACCTTGATGTCACCAGTGCTCCATACAGCCCGCACAGTGTCCAGGTTCTTGTGGCGACTGGTGAGCACCACGCACATGGTCTCGTGGCCCTTCCTGATCTGGGACATGGCCTCCTCATCCACCAGCTCAGCCTGGCTTTGGTTCTTCACAGCCTGCAAATACAGAGCCCGATGGAGAAGCAGGAACAGAGCAGCAGGATAGTGCAGAAGAGGTGGGAGCTTTCGCATGGCCTAAGTGAGAGCAGTTTTTGGCCAGGAAATAGAAACTTCTGTGTGGACTGTTTTAAAAACACTTTGATTTGGAAATGGTCAATTTGTTCCAACGTCATCTACTTGCTTCCACCCTTTCTACTAGGTTAATCACAAACAGAAGTTGGAAGTCTTGGGAAAACCTCCAAAAGTAAGACAAGAAATAAAGCACAGAAGAATTAAGTTTCATTTCATGCAAGTCCTATTATTCAAGGCAAAATGTTTGTCTGAAATCAACAAATGCTATTAAAAAAAGTATTAGCCTTCTGCAATTTATTAGATGCTAAGTTAAACTTATGATTCCTGCCAAGGCCATGCTGGAAGCTCTGTTTCATCAGTTCACTTTTAAAGTTTGGGATCATGAGGGTGCTCTGGTCCTTCTCCCTTACTGGATCAAGATACATCTCCTTATGGGGACAAAATAGCACCTGAGATGCAAGAGGCAAAGATTCTTGTGAAATAATTGCATACATGTAAAGACACTGGKTTTTTTTTGAGGTGAATCACTGTCTAGCATGTGGAATGGATCAGTGCCCTTGTTCCCCACTTTAATCACACGTTCTCAGTCAGGAGGGACCAACACGAGCGCCTGGGCCAGCACTGCTGAGCTACTCATCAACAGGAACTGCGAGTCAAGGCAGCTGAGAGGCTGGAGAGGAGGCTGGCGGGGCAGAACCCAGCAAACAGAGGGAGAGCAGGATATAGCATGTTCTTTGTCTGCTGCATTCAGCAACAAGGACCAAAGGCTACAGAAAATACCCGAAAAGACTCTCCTACACGTCCGAGGACCCCATTTCTGAAGCTCCCCAACACAGAACCCACCTGGACATTTTTGCACAGAGAAACTTACGGGTAGAAAGTCGGAGGCCTTCAGGCCAATGGGCTCATTCCTTGCTGCAGGAATCACCGATGGCTCCGTTCTTGTGACAGGAGTTGAGGCGGCAATTGGTGGCCTCTGAATTGGGTCAGACTGCAGAAGAGTGGCATAAAAGCTGTAACATCAACAATCTGCCCCCAATCAGAGGCCCTCTTTCATGACCCAGTTCCCTCTCGAGGCAGCCTGCTCATGCAGGAGCAGTCTCCAATTTGCCAGTATGACTTAAGAGGCAATGGAGTATCCCTCAGGTATTCAGTGAGACTTAATTAAGGTTTCAGAAGAGCACAGAGATGTGCCAGCACAAGTGCTGAGTGCTGTCATTGTTGCTGCTATCTGAAATTAGGGCATGGAGTTAGATATATACGCAACATATAACCTATCCCGTCACGTACTGACTGCAATTTTGGCTATAAAGTAGTCTCAGCTTGAGTATCTTTAGATATTTGCCCTTTAGGTCTCCACAGARTACCCTATTGAGATGATGCAAGAAGATCACAAGCAGTAGAACCAACTTCTGCTGGAGGCCTGGCCTTCGAGCCCCCTGCTCTGGTGAGGCACACGGCCTGCCTCAGATCAGAGCTGCACCTTCACTGGTCTTCAATAAAGGCAGCAGTTTGACAAGGAGCAGTAAAGTCTCAGGCACTCACATATGTTTCACGGCAATGGGATGAGCAGTTCCTAAGAGCTAATTCCATACGTACGTGTTCCTGCTTTGGCAATGGGGTCTGGACATCCGCAGTTTGGCTGGGCTTCGCTGCTTCCTTTACAGCTGCAGGCTCTGCCAAGACAGGAGAAAGTGATTTCCCCTTTCAAGAGATGCTCGCAGCAAAGGGTCTGCATAGCTAGACGGCAAGCCCTCATGTCTGCAGAGCCACAAATTTGCTAAGGACTCTTAACACCAAGAGGTCATTTTTCTACTCACCATCCTCAGGAGGCGCTGGGAAGGGCTCATTGTTTCGTGGAGGAGTTCGAGCTACGGAAAAAGAGGGCAAAAAGAACAAAACTGATGAAGCATCCAAGGCTATAGATTAGCTATAGGTCAGCCTTGGAGCTGGAAGATCTCCAGCAATGCTAGTTCCACAGATTAGGCAGTTGGTGATAACCCTTGTTGCTGTATCTCCTCCGGAACTCAGCGTTATTGTTTGGCTGAAGGTTTTTAGCCATGGTGACTGGGAAGGATAAAATTAACCCACGTGTGTCATTGCTGAAGGCAACAAAGTGCAAGAAAAGATTAAATTTAGTTCAGATCAAGTTTAGTTCACATTGACTAAATTCTAACACATGTAAGTCAATAAGTGTATTGTGTTGTGCCTCCTAAACGATAAGAGCTGCTTTAACAAAACATTACGAATTTTCTTCTTTAATGGGGGTGGGTGGGTGGGCAGYTGCTGGAAATGCCTGATTTTGTACATAACAGAATCCTAAGCAAATAAAGAGATCCTGTAACACAATGGTCCTTTCGAATCAGGACAGGAAACTATTTACACACACGGGCCAGACTTCAGCTAGACACGCGAGTTAAGGTGCAGCCTTGCAGCAGCTCAGCAACACGAACTACGCTTCAGAGCACAAACTAGTAAATAAAGGTTTTTTAACAGCAGCCAAAGTTCACTTCTATGCCGGTTTAGTGCCTGCAGCTCTGATCTAATCACCATTCAAAACCACAACAATCTGCAGTACTAACAGATGGAGTTCTTGGGCTGGAAGATCTCTTTGTAGTCCTCCGGGTTCTGGATTTCAGCCTTTGATTCCTTCTCGTCCCGGTCATCTTCACTGCTGGGACTGCGTCTCTCGCTCTCCGAGTTGTGTTTCACCCTGCTGCGAAGAAAAGGGATGTTGGCAGGACGAGGCACRTGGACCCCGTCAGAGCAAGAGCACTAAGCTCCTTGTAGACTCCCTAAAAACCTTGGGATTAGGGCCAACCAGTAGACTCCCTTACCTCTGTGGCTTGCTGCAGCTAGTTGATGGCCTGTCATAGATGCGACGAAGCGAGGACCCTGCAGGCGTAGGCTGAACAAGAGGCTTGTCATCTCTGATGAGCCCATGAAGAATGGAACCTGACTTTGTGACTCTGTTGAGATCCACAACGAAAGAGGAGACGGTGCTTTGTGCAAAGGAAACTCCTATCTGCAAAGGGAAAAGACCCAGGTTATCCACCAAGCAGCGAGGTGCAGCAGAGTCCGAGACACAAGACAGCGATCCTGAGCTGCAGCATTTGAGAATTTCTCTGCTCAGCACCTTGGTTTTTTTTTCAGTTTGAAACTGCTCCCGTCTTATAAAAGTCTAGGAATTTTGATGAAGCTTTTGCTGAGCGTGGGTTCTAATTACCGGTCCAACCAAGCCCCACTTCCTCCATTCAGAGGTCACAGAGAAAGGAAGCGGAGCACAAGGCAGCTGAATGTAAAAGCAAACAGGTTTTGCCCCACTGTTGGCCACACTCCTAGCCCTGGTCACTTAGTTTGTCACAAGGCTTCAAGTTCAGAGGCCTGCAAGCATGCAGCAGGATTGTATCTTACATTTTTCAGCAGCCTCCCCGCCTCCTCGGGAACAGTGGCTCACCAGCTGGTTGTTGCAGATAGATAAGTCAGCTACTTTTCCCCAGTTCACCAAGACCACATCAAAACAGCGTTCTGGCTCCCAGCCGTACACACGCAGGGAATCCTGGAAGCCACTATACAAGCAGCTGCCATCGGGGTTGAAGAGCACACACCTGGGAGAGGCAGGGGAGGGAGATTTAGATGCACCTTTCCAAACTTGCTCAGTTCCCCAAGGACCCCAGGGCCGTACCCCTGACTTTACTGAACACCTCTAATCAGGCTTTTAAACACCCCGTCTCCAGATCTAGTGATCTTGTGCCACCTCTCCAGCAGCCCAAGCTTCTCCACAGGGAAATATCCTCCCTTCATCCTCACTTCRGTCCACCTAGTTGTGGTAAGAACTTAATATACCTGACTGGTGTGGCCTCCTCTTCAATGCAGCTCACAACTTGAAACTTCTCCAAGTCCCAGAATCGGACAGTCCTGTAATACAACAGGAGAAACATCATCGCTCGTGGAATCTGCTGCTTAGCATTAAAAGAACATACTAATAGTTAGAATGACTTTCCCTGCCATGCAAGTATGATGAACTTAGAGTGAAAGCTCGTCTAGCTAAGATCTGAGGATCCAGCCACAAATGTTTACTCTGAACATCACAGATGGGATATATTTGCAACCACTCACACTGGGAGGATTGTCTCAAAACTCCAGCCCACATGTTGTGTTCCCAAAAGGAATGGCATCAGGAGAGCACTGACATATTGGGCTCCCCAGTACAAGACAGACATGGAGCAAACCCAGGGCAGAGTTACTTGGATGGTGCAGGGACTGGAGCATCTCTCTTATGAGGAGAGGCTGAGAGCACTGGGACAGCTCAGCCTGGAGAAGAGCAGGCTGAGGAGGATCTTATCAATGTCTATCAGCATCTGAAGGGAGAGCATAGACAGGATAGGGACAGGCTCTTTTCAGTGGTGCCCAGCAATAGGACRAGAGGCAGCAAGCACAAAAAGCTCTGTCTGAACACAAGGAAAAAATTCTTTACTGTGAGGGAGACAGAGCCCTGGAACACATTACCCACAGAGGCTGTAGAGTCTCCATCCTTGGAGACACCCAAAAGCTGCCTGAGAAATGTTCTCCAGGTRGTCTCCTTGAACAGGGAGACTGGRCTAGATGATCTCCAGAGGTTCCTTCCAGCCTCAACCACTTGTGACATACCCAACAACTGTGTGCTTTCTCCTTCCCCTCAGGTACCTGTCAGAGCTGCCAGAAGCCAGAAGGTATTCGTTGGGATGGAACTCAACGACATTTACTGGGCCAGTATGTCCTGTAAATTCAAACATTATCTTCCCAGCAGCCAGATCCCACAGCTGGAAGAAAGAAGGAAAAGAGAGACTCTTGAAAAAGATTTAATGTTAGAGACTTCCACTTGGAGTTTCCTCTACYGGCAAGCTAATCCTCCTGAAATTTGTGTGTGCCTAGTGCCCAGACATCAGCTGGATAAGGGCCCTTCACTGGATGCARCTCATGTCTGGATGTCACCAGACAAGATCCCCCTAAACCGACACCCCCTGCAAAGCCCCAGGGCTCACACTGCTGCCTCATGAATCAAAGGGAGCTGTGAGAGAGATGCTCCCCGCTGCCCAATGCACCACGAGCAGACCAGGAGCGTGTCGTGGTACCCGCTGACGGGTAAGTTACCTTTACAGTGTGATCATCAGCAGCAGAGGCTAACCATTTCCCATCAGGACTAAACCGGAGACACCTAACGGCTTGGGTGTGACCCTGAAATGAGGAACAGAAGCAGCACTGCGTTAYCTTCCTTTAAAGGGTATTCTGGTCTTTAGCTATTTTATACAATAAAATCAACTATCTGTATCACAGACCTCATAGCTCACAGAACAGAGCCCTTAAAAACTGCTCTCCAAAGCTATCCCTATGAAACGGGCATAAAGCCATCAGGACTTCTTTTTTTTTTTTTTTTTCATTAGGATAACAACTCTAAATAGAAATGTGGCTAAGACTGCTGTGCCATTGAGTTGGTTTCTAAAGTGAAATCAATACGCAGCGAGTTCTTTGCATAGAAAACGGCTGCAAGAATAGAAATACCTGGGTGCTGAGGAGCCCTGTACTGTATTACCAGTCACAGCTTAACGAAACACTCACGGCTGCTCTCCACCCCCCAACGAAGCCTATCAGCCTATAGCGACTCGCAGAATAACTGCTTCCTGTCCCCACAGAGTTCAGAGAAGCACACAGAGGTTTATCACACCACTTCAGGAGTCCTGCAGATGTTATTTTTATACCAGGAAAGTAGGAGGTTAATCAAATAAGCACTAAAGGCTTGCACACAACCCTAGGTAGGAATCTTTTCCCGTGCTTCTCCAAACCAATCAAGGATTTTACCTTGTATCTGAAGACGCAGCCTTTTCTTCTTACATCCCAGAGCTATAGGGAAGAAAAGCAAACAGACCATAAGCTCAGAACGGGGGCTGTTAAAGCCATGCCTGCTCTTGAGCCTTCTCCTGACCCAACATTCTCAGTGAGAACCATTTTTGTAAGTTCCTACTACAGAGGCTCAGTTCCTAGAGTCAAACACCAGCCTGAGGAAAGCAGACACAATCCACAGAAATCAGCACATTGACACCCGCTCACGTCAGGTCTCATCTGGCACCAAGCTCAAAGCGCCTTGTGGAACGAGCCGCGTTCCCCAGCAGATGAATCACATTTGTTGCGTTACACTTGTAAAAACACACAAACAGATTTCACAAGTGTCCATAAATACACCTGCCCACACGCATGCAAATACTGCCAACAACTGCCAACAGCTTGGCACAAACACATCCTGTCCCTCTTCACAGCAAAGACACTGCGAGGAAAGAAGCGTCTCTAGGAGAAACTGGGCTTTACCTTAATGTTTGTGTCCAGAGAACCAGATGCCACAAAGCTTCCAAAAGGATGGAAATCGAGGCTGCAGATATTTGCCTTGTGACCCAGCAAYGTCCGAAGAACTGGGAAAAGGAGGAGCGAGACGGAGAGAAAGAACAAGGAGCAAATATTGAGCAGGTGGTTTCCCCCCACAGAACGCAGCTTGGCCATCCCATCTTCACCATTAAACACATGCCAATACAATGTACGTTTAGACATGCTAGATCCAGTCKATTCACCTGTGTACATTAACCCATGGAAAGGTTCCCGAGTTCACCCTTGCAAAGCAAAGCAATAGCAATAGCGAGCCTGGCGATCCTAATGGAATTCCTGCCCTTAGGTTGGAATCTGTCAATAAAACTCAACGGTCTGCAACGTGAAAATAAAACCAAAACATCACACTTTGAAGCAGCTGTCAGGCAGCGTATCCTGTGGCAAAGAGGGCACATCTTGGGGTGGGGGAGAGCACTTTGGGGTAAAGAAGTGAAAGGGACACTTGACTATCTGCATTGTTCATCTTTCAGTGACGAGACCGGTCTCTGCCGCAGCGCGGCCGCACACAGCACCACTTGTGTTCCAGGATTCCTCCAAGTGCTCCTCGCAAGAAGTGTCCCAAAGAATGTGCAGAGCAGGGAAGCTCAGGAAGGGGCAGACAAAGAAAATGACCCCAGCACTTCATGTCACCAACCAAGCAACACCCTCGGCAGGGCTGGAATCCAGCATGGACCAGTAGAACTGGTACCTAGTATCTCTGAAAGCAGAGATGAACACAGAGCTTGACTTCGAGGAAGAAAAATTGCTCACATAATGAGAAGCAGTTTCTCTCCATCATCAGTCATGTGGGACACTCTCTTTATTCTCATGGCAGGAATTAGCTCTCGAGCCAGGCCAGGAGCTGGCTCATAGGTCTAGTACTAAGTTCATCCAGATCTGCTCCTCCCCATTGGTTGTGCCAACCTATTTTATAATCAAACTGACTCCAGATGCTTGAATGACAAAAGGGCTTCTTTTTTATTATTATTATTATTATTATTATTATGTATGCCACGTGCTTTTTGCTTTCTCAGCTCAGCCAAAGCGAGTCTGCTTTTGTTGCATGTTCTCACGATGAGCAAGTCAGAATTTGAGTAGCAAACTACAAGAAACGTTCATTCATTTTACAGTGTTTCTGCTGGAGTGCACTCAGGAAATYTGTGATCCTTTTTTCAAAATTGCTTTAGGATTTGAGGAAAAAAATGCAATAAACAAAATAGGATTCAACAGTTTTCCTTCAAAGGATCAGGGTCCATCGAGTTGCTAGCTTTTATGTTGTATTATAAGTTAGGTCCTTGTCTTATTTCTGTGACTAAACAGAAGAAAAATCACTCAAGGAAAAAAAAGAAAATTAAACTGGAATCTAAAAAACTATTCCTCCGTATGAGGAAGAACGTTTTTATAGTGAGGGTGCCAGAGCCCTGGCACAGGCTGCCCAGGGAGCCTGTGGAGTCTCCTTCTCTGGAGGTCTTCCATGCCCTGGTAGCCGGGATGCCGCCCCATGCCATGAGCTCCGGGTGTCCCTGCTGGGGGAGGGGGGTTGGACTAGATGGTCTGTAAGGCCCCTTCCAACCTCAACCACTCTGTGTGACTTCCAACTTGCGCTGTCCTTTTAAGCAAGGCCCAATTTTTCTAAGCTGAGACTCCAAATACAACTTCGTTGTGCCCAGTTACCTTACAGATGTGTGTAAAATMATCTGCAATACACAGTTCAGCGCTGTCCGGTCAAAATCCTAGGAACTAGTTCCTTAGGTCGCTCTCCAGAACACACATAGGTATTTCTGCTCAAAAGTGCATGCACATGGAAATTAAGATGAAAGCAGTGACAGGCTGCTCCTTCTTAGCTGGGAACCATTCAGGTCAGTACAATACTCAGCACAAACATATTCCAAACCCATCACACATAAAGAGAGGCCCAACCACACGGGAACATACTTTTGGCAGCTTCCAGATCCCAAACTCGAATAGAGCCCGACTGGGAGCCTGCGACTATGAGCTCCTCGTTGGTGTTGATCTGCAGGCTCTCGATGGGGGTAGTATGGCCTGTCAAGCTCTGCAAGAAAAGAGTCACCAAATGACAGGGTCTCGTGCAAAGCCGATGGCCACAGTCGCATCGTTTACACTTGACTAATAAGTAGTGATTTGGGAASGTAATTTCCCCATAATTTGGGAGCATCAGGCTCTGCTGCTTGCCCTTCCCTCCCTAGCAGGTGCATGCACACATCACCCAAGCCTCAGTGTCTCCTGGGACACGGGCTGAGTTTTGAAGGATGCATCGACAGAGAGACACGGGCAGTTCAGCCKTAGGTGTGGACGCCCACACAAGGTTGACACATGCTTACATTCTAAAAATCAGGCGGCGCAAGCACGATGACACCATGTTTGTTCTAAATGGGTCACCTAAATGTCATGAACCGGTTACAGAAACCGAAGCAAGAGCAAAACCAAAGCTACTCTGAAACCTGCACCCAAGCAAGAAGCYCTATGTTGCTGCCAGGGCTGGGCGTCGCAGCATCGAGCCATTACTGAAGTATTAACTCGAGGCAATGAGAGTAATAAGAGTTTGCAGTTCCTTTCATCCATGAGCATCTAAAAAGCTTACAAATTATGTATTTTGAAAGGCCCCGATTTTAATTAAAACACGGGATCATTAGAACTAGCTCTAGAAAGCTAATCAACAAACATACTGCTATTGTGGACCTTTTAGTTGTCAATTAAGCAGTATTATAGTCTAGTCTTGATCCTCAAACAGGTCTTTTAAACTGTTGACCCAGCTCCGTGCCTCCCACACATGTAAAGAGGCTGGGAACACCAGCTCAAAGCCACTTGCCCTAATGGATTTCATCAGCAACTCCAACGCTCTCAGGTTATGMCTGTTACCACTTGGGAAGAAATAAAGTTCAGCTGAAACTAGAAGTTCCTTGAAAAGTTCTTCTCCCTCTTTCCCCACACAATTATCTGGAATCCTAGCAGTGTAAATACAAAAGATGAGCTTCAGAGAACAACAGTGAAAATCAAAACACAACACAAACCCCCAGATTCTTTTGATATTGTAACAAYAACACAAGATCTCAGCAGTTCCAGTCAATCCTTGACCTGCAGAAATGTAAGTTCCTGGCCCTTGTGGCTCCCAGAAAGCACAGGAGAGCTATGGTTTTCTGCTCTCACAAAAGGGATAAGGAGAGATTTGGTCTTTCCTCTTTTACGTAGGATGAATTACTGTGGCTTCAAACAACTGTAAAGTCATTGGAAATGGCCTGGAAAACATAGCTTAAACTGTAAATAAATGCAGCATTACAGAGGGCTAGCAGCCCCTTTTGCATCTATTTCAACCTCTTTATCTTGATCTCAGTAAAAACAAACRACAACAACAAATGATAAAATAAAACAAGGTAAAAACTCTCTTCTAGCTTTTTTTGACCCTAGCTGCCCTCCTGTTTCCTTGCAAGGTTCACACTGGCGAGAGAAACACTTCTCATAATRCAATGTTAATTATACTGTTTACAAAACAAACGCTAAGGGACACTTGCAGAGGATGCTTTTCCACAACATCCAAGAAAAAGTGGAGGATGCAGGATAAGCAACTGTTAAACACACACAAACGTGTGTTAAAAAGCACATTAGCTGTGCCTGCTGTGGTAACCCTACACTTTCTAACATGCCTCATCCAGTATTTCACTTCCCCAGCCCACAGACAGGTCAGCCCCAACTATTCTGACAAACACAGGCTGTCGGAAAGCGAGCATGGGGCGAGTGGGAACGTATCCTGCTTGGGCAGCTTCCTTCCACRAGGGCAAACCCCAGGGCACAGAACTAGTCTCCAGAGCTTGCRCTATAAAAGCAGCTGACCTGGTGCAAAACTCGGCCTTTAATCATCTGTAACCCAGTAAAGGAAGGCTCAATATTCACCATCAGAGCCAGCACTGGCCTTAACGATGCAACAAGCCTCCTGCACTGTGTCTGGAGCAGAGCTGCTCACCGGTCACTTGAAACTGTCCCCTTCTCCAGCTAGAATCAGATCACGCTTTGCRTTGACAAACTCTGTTCAACCATCAYGCTATGTATCTTTTCCCCTCCTTTCCCACTCTCTACATCTCCGAATTAATATTCCCGTCTCCTCAAAGCTGCAAACTGTGCCGTGCTTACCATGATGCAGTTGGGCTTGTTAACCGACCAGATGTTGACCCGACAGTCATCTCCGCCAGTTGCCAGCAGCCGGCCTGAGCTCTTCCCCAGGACGAGTGAGGACACGTTGCTGCTGTGAGCCGTGATCTCTTCTGCAAGAGTTAAAATAAAAACCAAAGTGAACAAACACAAATTGAAATAACATTTTCGATCCCATCTTTCCAAGAAGATGAAACAAACAAACAAAAACTTTCTCTCAACAGGAAAACCCTCCAGCCCCACTGGACAAGCTGCAGCAATGCAGAGTTCAGACAAGTCAATAGCACTGTCTTGTTTGCAACAGTCCTCCTCGGCTCTGCTGCGCTTCAAGACTTGCTGCCCAGTCTCCAGAGCTGCAGTGCACGTGTTGCTCACAACAGCATCTCCCCACTGGCAGCAGCTCCGAACGCTGCTGGGGAAGATTTGCTCACATGCAGACACCTGCTCAGAGAAGCTGCTTCACTTTTGCCGCCCGCGTGGGTTTCAGCGTGCCGAGCTGCTTCCGCGGTCAGCACGACTCGAAGCAGCACAAGGACCTAGAAGGCGGCTCTCCGATCCTGTTCTGGTGAGCACCAGAAGACCGTGCAACCCAAGAGCAACTGGCAATGGACAGCAGTAAAGTTTGCTGCTTGCAGAGGAAAAAAAGTCAGCCTCAGCAGCGGGGATAGGTGGAGCTCCCTGCTCCGAGCTCTGGCAGTGGCTTTGCTACACCCTCACCACCCAGGCAGGTGAAATTTAACAGTTCCCACAGAGATCAGGTATTTTCAAAGGGCAGAAAAGAACAAATGYGACTGATATTAAAAGACTGTTAAAAAGATGGAGGCTGAGGGGAAGAGCTGATACCGTGAGGGCTTCAACCTGACAGGACTCGAGCGAAGCCTTACAATAAAGAAACAAACTTGGGGTTAAGGAGAAGCCCAACAAGAGCACCTTTGCAAAGCTATCTGCTTTCATAAGGGGTTTTAACATCCACCTGAATTTYTGGCAGGCACTTCCTATCAGATGCCCTTACCAATTTCTTCCTCTTACAGCTCTCCTCTTCGAGAGTTCACCAGATTTGCAGGCATAGTATTTATGAAACATGTTTGCATGAGAAAAGCTAGGTAGTAACCAATGCAGCTTTTGTTCAGATTGCTTTGGTGGGAAGCACCAAAGCTTTTGATGACTAAGTGCAAGACACTAATCCAAAGGGACATTGGGAGGGCAACAGTAATAATTACAGGCATTTTGTTCTGAGGTTCCCAAGGATGCTTTTTTGAAAGCAAGACTGCGCAACTTTCACTTCAGCTGGACCCACACCTTCCAAATTACAAAGGCAGCAGGACTGTAAATTAAATGCAATGGGCAAATCGGAAAACAAACCTCCTCCGTGCCAGAAGAGCAGTATCTATGACACTGCTAAAGCAAAATATGCATGTATAGATGAAACTGAAGGTAATAAACAATGCAATTAGTGCTAATGGAATGGTTATTTAAAATTGAAAGAATCTGTGCTGAGCATTGATGTTAAAGTGAGCGTGTCAGCAGCGCCACTTTTTGCTCCTCTGGATTTTGTCCTTAATAATACGTTAGGGGTTTAAGAGTCATTGCTAAAGCAATAATCCCTGTGTTTACAAAAACCAGATTATAACTGCACACCAGCCTTGGCCAGGCAACACCCCCTATTCCCTGCTGAAGTGTTAATTCACCTAATCCCACACACCTTGCTTCATGAAGCATCCTCACCAGCTATCCCCCACGAGCTCGGGACAGCAAACTCCTACCTAGCGTCACCAAGACCTAGTGTCTACCTAGCGTCACCAGCGTTTCCCTACGCGCCAAACACTGCTTTCTTTGAAGAGGACAGTAAAACAGGAGGGCCCAAAAAGCCAAAGATGAAGGGGTTCTGGCCATTTAAACAGAACTGAGATTTGAGACCAACCCAATTCCAAGGATCCTTGAAAGGTGGGAGTCTCAGGAATGGGAAGGTAACATCGCAAACTGGCTCTCTGCTCCAAACACAAGAAATGCTCAATCTGAGCTACACCGCAAGGGTCACTACCATACAGGACTAGTTACTGTAGAGCTACTGTATGTGACCAGCCAATAGACAGCCCCACTAATATACTGCCCATCAATAAGCCTTTCCACAAGGCTTAAGGTCACTGGCCTAAAAGGCACAGTTTCCAAACAACCAAGTACTTCCCTTTGCTTCTAACAAGTCCTTCGCAGCTACTATTGAATTACCAGGCAGTTCTCAGAGAGACAAAGGGAAATGGAAAATTAGCAACCACTCACTGCTCTTTCCAAGGGAAAAAAGTGGAAGAAAAGGCAGCAGATTCTTGCTGTCTCTTACAAAGAGTTTCAAGAGGAGGGCCAAAGCCCTGATCGTGCAGTGACCTCGTCGTCCCGCCTGCAGCAAAGAGCCTGGTGCCCTTCGGTAACGCCGAGCAGCGAAGGGCGCTCACGATTCCCGGGAACCAACGCGGCGCCTGGGAACTGCGCGGCCCCACGGGCTCAGCGCGGGTTCCAGCCACCTCCTTGGTTGTTCTTATACAACAACATACTGAACACAGCAGAACACAGAATATATTATATTCTTATATTCCTCAGTTGTTCTTACACGACGTTACAGTGACATGGGTTTTGCTCACTRGAAACTCAGAGCAGCGCTGCAAAAAGCAACAGGAAAAGGGACACAGACCCAGCAGCAAGAATGAGGCGCGGCGCTTCCCTGCTGCTGGTCCAGGCCTTTTCAGGGGGCATTTCTGAGACCCGGGAAGGGCCCCAGGGGATAAAATTGACTTTTTTTTTTTTTCCAGATAGCATTCCTGAATGGTTTTCTTGCAATTTTACATTTTACATTTCATTTTACATTTTCTGAGACCCGGGGCGCGCGGCGCGCCGGCACTCACGCAGCTTCCACGCCGTCTTGGTGGCGACGGACACGGCCATGTCTGCGAGCGCCGCCGCGGAGCTCAGCCGGAGCGCGGGGCGCGGCGGGGCCGCTCAGTCGCATGCAGGCCGGGCGGCCTCGCCCCGC